CCCTTCCGACCCTAGAAACTATGAAACTATGAAACCCTTCTGACTGTGAGACACCAATGCAGTAGTCTACAGCTGCAGCAATAGTTAAAACAAAAGTGGCTATGAACACAGTTTGTAGTGCCTCCTGGGTTTTTTTTGTTGGCTAGTCTATCTCGCTATGGACCTACTGCCCATGCCTTAAACCCATGGTATATTTCTACCGAAAATGCTACGGATTCACATGCTATTTTATAGAGATGGGACAGGAAGACAATCTCCATACCATTCAGACTTGTTAAGCAGTTTTCCACAGCCTAGTTACCCTTTCCCCTGTTACATCTCTACTGTTTTAGGATTTTCCACAGCTATAGCTGGGAACAGAATTTCACCTTAAATGAATATCCCAGGATTGGGTCCATTATTTGTTAATAATTGTGGTGTGATGGCAAAATAACAGAATTAGGAATCTCTTATAGTGTCAATTACAGTAGGAGAAATAATTCTGGCAAAAATAATGCCAAAAATGCACTTTCACTGGCACTGCAGCATACAATTGTATTTTATTACTTCAATATGCAAATGTTTAAGGTAAATAAATGGCAGTGCTTCTGTATGATTCATCACTAGCTCTTTTTTTTCATGTGCCACTCTGTGCTAGATACATTTTTTAAGTTAAACAAGGAAAGACTTAACTCCATACCTAGTATTTTATTGTGCATTGTCTTTGTATAACTTAGATACAGATCATATGTTGCTAATGAAAATACTTGATCTGAAGTAACTTTTTAAACAAAGATCAACGTGCAAATTGTACCAACAATGTCATACTCTGTGTGTGTGTGTGTGTGTATTTAAAGCACATTTTCAAATTGCTACATGTAAAAAATATTAAGACATTTGGGTCTATGATACATAAAAATAATCTAGTGGTGAAACTGGAGTGATGAATTGCACATTTGCCAGCATCAGCTACAGCAAAACTTTAATTAGCCACATGGTTTTTCATCACTTTTTAGCATATGCTTTAACTTTTTAGTCTTTGATTTTAAAAAAACAACAAACACACATGCACCCAAATCCAATTTACAACTTAACTGTATACAGCAAAAACAACAAAAACAGCATATGGACTTAAATGATACATGCTGAAGATCCTGGACATGTGAAGCAGAAATTATGATACACCCCATATACAGTCATCTTACTACAGAAGACATTTGACCTGAACCTGCTTTTATTAAAGTCTCTGGCAAAACTTCAACTGATGCCCATGGAGCGGGATCAGTTTCATGAATTTATTAATTTTAAGGCTGTGTTTCAATACAGACCTATCATGGACACTGTAAGATCCACATGTATGGTCTCTATATACAACAGGATCTGTCAGGATTAATTTAGTAGATAACCAAATACTGATATTTTCAGTATATTGTTTTTGGATTACAGTATAATCACTTCTGCCAATTTACTGAGAAATCTACTAGAGACAGAAACCGGCCTATAATTTCCCCCTTTAATATAAAGGACCTTGGCGGGAAAAAACCTTAAAAGGAAATTCAGAGATACAGACAATGTAAAACACTACCTTCTGGTGAGAGGACTATTCACATCTCAGTTGGGGATATAGGCTGCCAACTGGATGGAATTCAAGGATCCATGAGCAATCCTAATCCACTGGCCCCTCCTGTTCCTCCAAGGAGATGTTTTCCCTATGTACTATGGGGGGCCAGGAGGACTACAAACATTTGTTAAGTTGGGTAGAGAGGAGCATACCACTGAGCTCCCTTCTGACTCAATGTGTCCCCATTTTAATGTCTCCTGCCCCTTGGTTCCCTTCCACAACAACACTGTGTGAGGAAGCAGCCCTGAATGCTGACTCCCTGAAAGTGGAATCTAATTTTTAAAAAGTTTCCCTACATTTCCTGGCACTTTTTCTCCACATGAAACCACATCATGTCCTATTAAATCATACATGGTTGTATCAAAACACATCAGGAACTAGTTTTGTGGTTTCCTTTTCTCTCTTTCTTTTTTTAAGTATTTGTTTAAAGTCACATATTTATAGTCATTTTAAAGCCTGGTCTTGCAGTCCTTGTATGCCTGGAGTGGGTGTTTTTCCTGAATAAGCACTGTAATACCAGACCCTCAGATAGCAAGCATTTCACATAAATTCACAGCAAGTGGGATTTACGAAAAGGGAAAAAACCTTCCTGACTTAAAGTTCAGATTCAGGAAAGCACACAAACACATGCTTAAGCAACCTTCCTGACCTGGGACCACAAACTAGGCTATGTTAAGATATTCACCATCTATCCATGTTCCACTGGGATAGTATATTCCATCTTGTTTCAAGATAACCTAATATCTGTATTAGTTTTGAAATGTTTATTTTTTCTTTTCCTTTCAAGAGAAAACATGGAAAAAATATGTGAATTAGCTGTAAAAACTACAGTTCAAAAGCTGGTACTGTACATAAAATAGTAATGTGTCTTAAAAACACACAATATAAATACTGAAATAGAAACAGAAATATTATTATATTGCTGATGAAGTAAGCTCTTCAGTATGCAATAAAAACTATTTAAAATGGAATGTAACCCATTGCTATATACAGTATAATGTAATACATATATAGACAGGTAAGACAAAGAGTTCAGGCAGTCCTTTTCAAATACTTCAAGTATTTGTCTCTTGTCACCAGCATAATCCACAATTGCTTGGTGTACAGCTGTTCTAGTATTGGATAATACTTCAAGTGACTTCCCTCACTCTTTACATCTGTCCATCTTCCATTTGAAAACCACAAGTCTACAGACGCACATCTTGATTGCATAACATTTAGGACAAGTGCCAAATGTCTCCAGTTCTGCTGGTACGTATGCAGTCAATCTAAGAAGCATGTAATAAATTCAGCATGGTCCTTGGACTGTCACTTGGAGAAGTGCGAATTACCAAGCCCTAAACCTTCTGAAAGGTGCTATGTTCCCATAGCCTTCCTTTTATGTGCACATATCCTGCTGAAAAGGATTTCAGAATAAACTTGATTTATTGGACCTCTGACATGATACGGTGACTGAGAATTCATTGCATAGTCTTGCAGTTGTGACAGCTTGCTTTGACTGTTGAAATATTGCCCTAGGGCATAGTGCATTGACAATTTCATTGTTACACGAGGACTTTCTTTAGAAGTTTTAGATTTTACCACCTGCAAAAGAAGAGTGACATTTGTGAATGTTTCTATGTGCCCTGACCCAATATTTCATCAGATCCATGTTTGCCACTGATAAGATAAGCATACTTTGGTTTTTCCGGGCTAGATTTTCATACACTTACCTTGATAAGCAATATACTCCACAATTAGTTCCATTTAATATAGTGCAAAGCTTATGGTGTTAAGTACTAACTAATGAGTAAGATGCTTTTCACTCTAGCCCTTAATAGTCAATGAAACAGAATCCAGCTCTCTGGGTACAAAAGTCTGTGACAGCCTCAGAAGTGCCATGTTTTAAAACATTTAAGGCCAAATCCTATTTCACCTTTACATGCTGAGGGAGTACTCAGGTAGCTGCACAAGTGCAATTATTGACACTCATGTGGATTTTACATTCTCTCTCTCTCTCTCTCCCCCTCCCTGCAACAGAACAGGATCACCTAGGTATGCACGTGTGCATCTGAAGTTTTAAAAAAAGCAACCCCCCCCCCCCCCAAAAAAAAAAAAAAAAAAAAAA